GATAGATAGATAGATAGATAGATAGATAGATAGATAGATAGATAGATAGATAGATAGATAGATAGATAGATAGATAGTTTTAATTAAATAAAAAACATAATTTTAAATTGTTTCTTTCTCAGTTCTTCATGATCTACAGGATGGAAAAGATGATTAAATAAATGTAACTTCTTCACTCTGCTGTCAGACACACAGTCACTAAATGATTGGTGTGTTTGTGTGATGATTGTGTTTGTGTGTTGTGTTACATCAACACTTATAACATGTAAATATTACTGTTTGTTCTTTTGTTGTTGGTGGAAATAAATAAAATATATTTAAAGGTAAAGGTGCTGTATTTGTCATCAGTGTATGTTTCCACACAATGACGAAATTTGTGCTCTGCATTTAACCCATCCACATCCAAGTGGAGCAGCGGGCAGCCATGTGTGGTGCCCGGGGAGCAGTGAGGGTTAGGTGTCTTGCTCAAGGACACCACGACATGTGGGCATGGCGGGGAGTCGAACCTAAGACTTTCGGGTCCCAAGCCGGCTGCTCTACCACTACACCACAGCGATTATTATATTAATATAATAATAAAATCAGTCAAAGAAACATCTGTGATCTGAGTGAATGTTCACAACACTAAGGGTCCTGAGACTCCAGGGTCCTGAGACCCCAGGGTCCTGAGACCTCATGGTCCTGAGACCTCAGGGTCCTGAGACCTCACGGTCCTGACACTCCAGGGTCCTGAGACCACACAGGGGGGTCTACAGAACAGCTTCTGGACCCTTAGAACTGATGCAAACCTAAAACCTGGACAAGAGAGGTCCAGATCCAGGATCAGGAGCAGTAAGACTTAAACCCAAACCTCAGATCCTGGACCTGGACCAGTGAGGCTGCATCCTCTGACCTCTCACGCGCACGCGCACAGCAGCAGCAGACTCACGGATCTTGGCCACGCTGGCCACCAGCAGCCAGATGGCGATGATGTAGGGGGTCTGCACGTAGGTCCACTCCCACTGGACCACCCGGAACCCGCCGCCGTGGTGATGATGCTCCGCTCCATCCTCCCCGGGACCCTCCGCCGCGGACCGAGCCGAGGCCACGCCGGGAGCCCCGAACTCCTCCGGGCCGGGCTGCGGGTGGAGCAGGACCGGCGGGGACGAACCGAGCCCCGGAGAGCCGGTACCGGACTGGTCGGTGGGGGCGGCGGCCGGAAGCAGCAGCAGCATCAGACCGAGGAGCAGCATCGTGTCTCCGGAGCTCAGAGTCCGCATCCCGGACCGGACTTTATATCTCCACACGGACCGGGAGCTGGAGGGGCGGGGCCTACAGGGACTCAGACAGGTGGAGGAGGGACCGGAGCCGAGTCCGGGACCCCGCCCTCCAGACCTGGTCCCTGCTGAGAACTCTAGACCCGGACCAAGAACTGACCCTGGTTTTACTCTAGAGCTCATTTCAAACACGAGCTGCACCTGAG